AGTGCACACAATACTTCAAAATATTTTCACCCTTAGCTTATAGTGAGTGGTGAATATATATATATATATATTTACTGTAGGAAGTCTGAATAAATGAAGAATGAGTATAATTGAAAACTGCTGCATTAGCGAAATGCCATAAAGCGAAGCACTGCAAAACAGGGTCCCGCCTGTACAACCACTCACATTAACACTCACGAGCCAAAACTACAATACAAAAATAAAAAAATATTCAAATCATCAAGCACACAAGCACATTAAGTTTGCTAAAATTTCCCTGAGATCCACAGACGAACCTCGGAAAATTAAAAAAAAAAAAATATTACTAAATACAAAAATGTTGAAGTCATGGGAAAAATCTTGTACATAATCCTATCCTCACCCTTTGTGTAACCCCAAACTTCTCTGCACAGTGATATATTTACGTGTTCTTGTATGTCTTTCCTCAACTTATAAAAAGTACATCTAATACAATGGTATTTTATTTAACCATTTCAGGGTCCAAAGGCCAAATTTCAAAGTGCGCACCAATGTCCAAAAATTTTCAAAAAATAATTTTGTTATTTTATCTTATGAAATGGTAGAGAATCTTTTTCTGAAGGCAATAAAACAAAAAGTACGAAATTTGATGGAAAACTGACAAAATTATGCTCTCACGAATTTTAATGTGTCAGCGATATTTACGCATCGGCGATTTTGCCGACTATGACTCCCATTTTAGGCCAAATATATTACTCAAGTCGACCAAATTCTTAGCTATTTCACTAGTATTACTTCTATTTTATCGATTGAGCACAAGAAATCACCAAGTCAACTGTTTCAACTACAAAATAAAGTGATTGGAAATTGGTAATTTGGCCAATTTAATGCAAAGTTCAAAATATTCTAATTTCAAAATAGGATCCAGAATAAACAATGCAGGCATTCCTGGAACTAATCTAACATTTCCTCTGTTCATTAGTTATTTTTCAGGCTTTACAAATGAATTCCAATTTAATTTTTTATTCACATAATGAATTTTTATTCAAACCAAAAAATGGATGATTTACTGTTATGTAATACTGTAATAATTGTATAAATAATATCACCACATTCATGAACGTATATTAGACCCACCAGCTGGCGTGTATTAGACGTGTGGGATCATTTGTTTACTCTTGAACATCGGCAAAAATTTAACATTTCTGCTATTTTGAGCTCAGTTTCAACCCATTTCCATTACTAAAACCAATAAAAATCATCTCCATTTCTGTAACATATCTTCCATTCTATCAAATGAGACCAAGAAATCACAAATACAACTATAAAAAAAAACATACGAAAAACACTGCAAAGTCGCTGTTTTAATAAAAAATTATGGTCTCAGTTTTTTTTCTCTCATTATGTACTGTGTGCTGCAGGATTTGTTTAATGTGGTGCACACATACCACATAGATGTATTCTCTCATTTCTAGGCCCAAATTTACTGCTCACAGCTTATCAGAGTGAGCTGAGCTCATGGCATAGATCTACGGTTTGGACCCTCAACATCTAGCCGTAGATCTACAGCACGGACCCTCAAAGGGTTAAATACTGCATTCATTCTAAGAGATATGTCCGCTTACTCACCAAGCTTAGTCAAGGGTTACAGGGTTAACAACCTTTCAAATGAGGCATGACAGGCTTATCTCACTGATATTCACAATATAAAACAAACTGATAATTTAGTTTTCCTATTCACTATTTGAAGAAGTCTTCTGACACATATATTAGGGCCAACAACTTCAAGTCTGGCAAACTGCAGTACAGGACACACACAAAAAAATTATTCTCCTCCTCTCAGAAAGGAATAATCCTAATTAACAGTCTACCACCAAAGCTGTTAAAGCCAAGACTACTACAATTCAAAGTTCACTTAAAGAAACATCAGGTAAGTTGGGAAAACCCTTCCCAAGTAATAGACTTCCTGTCCACTCCAAAGCCACTACAGCTGGTGGCCCACAGGTAAATATACAAGTTAAATAAGCTTAGGAATAAGTTGGCAAGCAATTAAAAAAATGAATAAGAATACTCAAATAAGGAACAATGCAATATTTGATTCAAGTACTGTACAACAAACTGGTAATTGCCACTGCCATGTAAATAGTGTAGAAAAATCTACAAAGACAAAATGCATGCACTATATCATTTATTTCAAAATTATATTTCTATGGTCATGATACACTAGAATGCTCATAACCCTTTAGCATAACAAGGCCCCATTAGGGATCCACTTCTGAGGTTCAAGACCCCATTCAGGACACATGAAATTGACATTGCCTCTAGCCAATAGAAAAACTCATCAACATGGAACCAATCAACGAGCCCTACTCCAAAGAGAGTGAGGAGTTGAGATGAAAAGTAGTGTAGTTCTAGAATTGGGAGAGGGTGTTTCCAATTGCTCATAAGGAGGAATACCAATTGCTTGTAAACAAGAATAATAAGTGTGGACTTGCTTTCAAAAATTTCAGAAAAAAATAATTATGAAAGTTATGGCAAAAGTCATAAGAAAAAAGTTCTGACAAGGCCAGTCTAAATACCGTATCTCTGTTATTTCAATAGTGGAAAGCAAAAAAGTTGTAACTGATTTTGTGTTTTCTTATTCTCGTAGTGCAGCCTAAAGCTAGGCTTCTCTTCTGCTTTTACAGTAGTACCTTGGTACTCGAACAGCTCCCAACTTGAACAATTTGGCATTCAAACGCTTTGTTCGGTAAAAAAATCGCTCAGTAGTCAACCGTTTGCTCAGTACTTTACCAAAAAATGTGTGTCACTCTCCCTGTAGCTGTCATTCAGTGCAAAACTCCGTTGAACTTTAATGTAAACCATTTTGTGTTTCTTTGAATTTTTTGCGTTTTTTTTATATTATCTGTACAGTGGACCCTTGACCAACGCTGGCATTGTCTAATGTTAAATCCGACTAGCGATACATTTTAACGCAAAAAATTTTGCTTCGACTAGCGCTAAAAAACTCGACCAACGAGATTCGTTCCATTCGAGATGCATCCACTTGTGGCCAGTGTTTACAAGCCAGCCAGCTACCGCGGTCCCATCCAAACATACAATCGGAACATTTCATGTTATCACAGCGTTTTTAGTGACTGCACCTGCAAAATAAGTCACCATGGGCCCCAAGAAAGCTTCTGGTGCCAACCCTACAGCAAAAATGGTGAGAATTACTATGGACATGAAGAAAGAGATCATTGCTAAGTATGAAAGTGGAGTGCGTGTGTCAGAGCTGGCCAGGTTGTACACAAAACCCCAATCAACCATCGCTACTATTGTGGGCAAGAAAACGGCAATCAAGGAAGCTGTTTTTGCCAAAGGTGCAACTATGTTTTCGAAACTGAGATCGCAAGTGATAGAAGATGTTGAGAGACTGTTATTGGTGTGGATAAACGAAAAACAGATAGCAGGAGATAGCATCTCTCAAGCGATCATATGTGAAAACCTAAACAAGTGTTTAATTGTGACGAAACAGGTCTGTTTTGGAAGAAAATGCCAAGCAGGACCTACATTACTCAGGAGGAAAAGGCACTCCCAGGACATAAGCCTATGAAAGACAGGCTTACTCTGTTGATGTGTGCTAATGCTAGTGGTGATTGCAAAGTGAAGCCTTTATTGGTGTATCACTCTGAAACTCCCAGAGTGTTCAGGAAAAACAATGTCCTCAAGGACTTGACACCTCAAGTCCAATGGAAGGGGATTCCCCTTCTAAACACTAACACCATCCACACTCTCCCCTCCTCCCATCCCATCAATCATCACCAGCTCTTCATTAAAGGTAAGTGTCAATTATTCTATTGTTATTAATCTATTGTTATTGTAATTATTCTATTGCATTCAACTTAATATTTCATGTGGTAAAATTTTTTTTTTTTCATACTTTTGAGTGTCTTGCACGGATTAATTTGATTTCCATTATTTCTTATGGGGAAAATTAACTCGACTAACGATAATTTTGACTAACGATGAGCCCTCAGGAACGGATTAATATCGTTGGTCAAGGGTCCGCTGTATAAATAAGTCACCATGGGCCTAAGAAGATTAGTGATAACAGTCAACCAAAAAGAAAATTGGTTAGTTATAACAGAGATGAAAAAATATTATTAATCATTTTTTATGAGAAAAATTCATTTGGTACTCAAACAGATAGGCGCTCGAGCAGCCTTCTGGAACGAATTAAGTTCGAGTACCGAGGTACTACCGTATATGTTCTTTAAGTTTGTTGGATTTCAACTGTGTGGGTAATAACTCTTTGGGTGGCCTGCCTGCCTGCCTGCCTGCCTGCCTGTCTTCCCTATCAGCTGGCAGTCTACAAGCTCGCACAGCCATCACAACCTACACGAACAATCACCTCATGCAAAATTCATTGTCCTTTGAAGACTTTTTTTTTACCATTGCTCCAGCAATGCATGCAATATTTCTGAAAGTTGCAAAGCTTCCTAATTTTAATTAGCATGTCAATTCTACCTTTCATTGGGTTTACTTAATGTTTCTTCCCTTTCACCCTAACTCTAGTAATTTATTTTCGTGAGCAGATTAAGGACTTGGCCTTTGAGTATTTTTAATGTAGAGTTTACAAGATATCTTCCCTGTTTATTCCACAGTACATTTACTGTACCATCAGTTACATGGCATCCCAAGTTTTGAAAGTTCTTGTAATCCACATGATCATTCCTTAACTACATTTATTTTTGTTGTGCAGGAAATGTAAAATACTGTACAGTAGTCTGACACTATTATTTCCAGATATCTTATCCATTTCCTTAATTCTGTGAAAACATCAGACTGCATCTTGTATCCTGTTTGGTATCTCAGCCACCAAAAATATTCATGCTCAAATAAAAGCTACTTTAATTAACCTCATTTATATAAAATAATATCTTACAAGAATGTAAGCAGCAATAAATATAATGTAAAAAATCCTTAAACAAAATTCAAATATTTACAGGTGACTAATCAACAGGGAATTTAATACGTACCATTTTTTCTCGCCATTCTTAATCTTCAGAAGTGGGATTGCAACTTTGCCTAGAAACTCCACCTTATGATCTCGGTCTTCATCATATACAGTCACCTCTAGTATACTGTGGATGTCCTTGACATTACTGAAATATCAAAATACTGTAGATGGAAATTACAACAAAGATTAAACAAAGCTTTTAAAAGGTCTTAATTTACTGCTAACATGATAAAACTAACCTGCAAGATGAAAATAACATATGAGTAAATAAGCTTGGTGCTGGTGAAGGGCTCCTGATCCAAGGAATTGGAGTTACCCTCCTCTTCCAGGGATCAAACCTGATTACCTCCTATTCCCCAGGTGTTGTATGACCCCTGTGAGTTTTGCACATCTCCATGAGCAACATATAGAAGTTGATATTACTTACAAGCTAAATATCTTGTTCCAAGTTGGTGAGAGCGTTTTATACTCTGTCTGAGTTTGAAGTCTGGCATTAATAAGCTCTAAGACACAGAAGGGATCACTCTTGCCTCCTATGTCAGCTGCAGCTAATCCCTGTGCTTTGAAAATCTTCACTCTGAGATGGCCAATGTCTTTAAGATTGTGAAGAGTTCTTGATAATTTCTGTTGAAAGAAAATTTTATTCATAAAGGTTTATATTACATTTTGCAAGAGGAACAACAATATTTATCCTTAATCAATTCTCAGTTTCACAGGGACTGATCAAAAACAATAAGCCTTAAAATATTACTAATGATGATGAACTTATATTTGTGAGAAATTGTAAAGCTATAAATCTTGCAAAATACTGTACCAATATTTTTGTTCACCTAACACTGACCCTTGATCCCCAGAGAAGCAAAGCCATATGGCAACCCGTCTTTCTAATGCAGTAATCCCGACTTGGTTTGTTTACATTCTCCATGAGCACATCTTTCTATTATGTCTGGAAACTTCCAAAATGTCAAGTGTTTTAAAGATATTGCATATTTTATATGCCCTCTGATAATTATACTTATGTATACCTGTACCTAAATATACTTACACACTGTGCTGGCATGCAGGTACACATTAAAATCACTAAGAGTGTTCCTCTAGTCTTAATCCCATAGTAATAATACTAATATGTAATAATAATCACTCTTGGGCACATTAAATGTCTTATTTTACGTTAATATAGACATTTTCATTAATCCATCTATGATATTTTCTTCAAAATTATATAAGAAACACATTACATAGCAAGTAACCATGCTATGCTTATATGCTATGGAGGTGTGGTAGCCAGGTGGAGGGAAAACATTACGTTTTCTCTGGTCCAGCATCGTCGTATTCCAAACAAAGATCGTATACCAAGCAAAAATTTTCGCATTCAAACAGGACGTATACCAAGTCGGTTCAGAGAACCGACACATTGATAAATTAGTCACATGTACAACTCTTGGGTATCTTTATTGAGGAAATGTTTCGCCACACAGTGGCTTCATCCTGTCAGACACTGCAACTTCTTGGGATCTTAATACCTGGGAATTCTTCGCTTGCCTAACCCTTGGGCATGACCTACTTCCACATTGGACAATGTGACACCACCTACGACTGCTGCACCTCTCCTGCCTATGGTATATAAGCTATTTCTCCGCACATATGCTGTATTCTATTCAAGATTGATGGACTGACCACATCGACTCAAGGTTGAGGGACTGATTACCTCATTCACCTCCTGTTCTTCACGTTTCTCCTTTGTATGGACTGATGAAGCCACTGTGTGGCGAAACATTTCCTCAATAAAGATACCCAAGAGTTGCACGTGTCTAATTTATCAACGTGTCGGTTCTCTGAACTATTCATCTACAATCCTGTCAAACACTGCAACTTCTTGGGATCTTAATACCTGGGAATTCTTCGCTTGCCTAACCCTTGGGCATGACCTACTTCCACACTGGACAATGTGACACCACCTACGACTGCTGCACCTCTCCTGCCTACGGTATATAAGCTACTTCTCTGCACATATGCTGTATTCTATTCAAGATTGATGGACTGACCACATCGACTCACGGTTGAGGGACTGATTACCTCATTCTCCTCCTGTTCGTCACGTTTCTCCTTTGTATGGACTGATGAAGCCACAGTGTGGCGAAATGTTTCCTCAATAAAGATACCCAAGAGTTGCACATATGTCTAATTTATCAAGTTGGACTTATTCCAAAGCGGATGTATACCGAGGTACCACCGTAACTGACATTTCTTGAGTAGTTTCAAACTGGTTCTGTGATTTCAAGCATAGTACAGTATTGGTATAGTTAAGTTTGGGAGAGGAGGTGATTTTTAATTATAGCTTACTTCCTCCATATCCTCTCTCATTTCACTCCAATATTCAATCTCTCATTGCCTATATTTTATGATACTCTCTTCACCTTGCATTTTCCTACGTCACTCCTAAAAGGTATAAGTTATACCCCCTCTACCCAGTGCAAGAAATCAGCACCTTCCTCTCTTCATCAACATTCAACAACTCCAAAAATATTCCCTTCATCTTCCCAGTGCCTCCACCTCTTCATCCAATGGCTCAACTCTTTTGCTTATAAATGATATATCCATTTGTCCTCTAGGCTTTCTCAACTTATTGGTATCACAGCAAAATTTCTGCTGCACACCAGCATTGCATTCCTAAATATACCCCCTACCTCCTTGACCACCACCTTATTACCTGCTCTTTCTCTATCCCACCTTTCTCCCAATAGTTGCTTATATTTTACCCATCTCCTCCTCTAATTTATAAACTTTCACTTCTTTCTTATCCACCAATGACAATGTCCTTGTACCCTATCTATTTCTCACTGTAACTACAGTACCACTAAATAATCCGATATATGTTGCCCATCTAAAATCGTATGCACATCCAAAAGTCAACCCATCAATATTTTGTCTAGTAATATAGAGTCCAGCAAACTGCTACCATCACACACTATAGCGTATCTTGTATACTTATTTATTCTCTCTTTTTCAAATATGTACATATTTCCTATTACCAACCTCTTCCTATACATAGCTCAATCAGAGACCCTCACTATCATTTATGCCTAGTACTCCCAACTTACCTACTACACCCTCTACAACAGTTTCTCCCATAACACCTCCCAAAATCTGTCTCCCCCCTTTACACTCCTCTTCCCCAGATGAATAAACACCCACTTCTCACATCCCACCCTTATTTTAATCCACACAATTCTTGTATATATGCATTTATAGTCCCTCTTTTCTTTGAATAATTGATCATTTAATAATGCCACCACTTCTTCTGATTCTCTCAGATACATTTGACTTAATCTCATTTACACCTCCCCACTGAAATTTTTCTAACCCCTTTACCTTCATTTTCTTTAGATCTAGGACATCCAGAGAGAGATTATAATTTTGTCTAATGTTTTATCTACTGAATTTATCATCTTTCTTACAATTTGCAATATTCACTAGCTGTCTTGCCAGAAGTGTGCACACATTACAATTAAAATGACTACAAACTGCTACATCCCCACCCTTCATTCTAGTGCAGGCACTGTACTTCCCACCTCCAGGGCTCAATTCTGTCTAACTAGTTTTCCTGAATCTCTTTATAAATGTTACCATTTTCCATTCTAACAGTACATCAAATCCATAAAACTACTTAACTTAATTGGGTTATCTCAGGTTAAATTCTATGTGCTTTACTATATAAAACCATTGTAAAAGTTTCAAATTATGGATGAAGCTTAAATAAATACTTACGTCTGATCTAACACACTCAAACATTTGCTGTGTGCTCAAGCCCTATCACTTAAAAATCTCCTTCACACCCTCCCTCCACCCCTTCCTGGGATGAACCCTTTCTCTGTCTTTCCACTCGGATTTATATACATACTCTCTTGGCCATCCCTTCTACTTCATCCTCTCTAAATGCCTAAACCACCTCAATAACCCCTCCACTGCCCTCTAAATTATACCCTTCTTAAACATACACTGGCTTTTAATGTTTTTGCTCTGAATTATTTGCATGATATTCACATTACATATTGTTCTCAAACATGACAATTCCCATCTCCAGCCTTCTTTTTGCAATGTATAAAGACCATGTCTTATGTTCACATAAAAGAACTGATATTACTATACATAGGTACATTTCCCTTTTAGCTTCCATAAATAAACTACAGTATTTTTTTCCACAGAAATCTCAACACATCACCTATCTTTTTTTTCCTTTGTTTATTCTAAGGTTCACCTCATCTTTCGTAGCCACATCTGCCAATATGTCCACTAATAATATAACAATTATACAAAACCTTTATGCTTACGTATTTATTTGATATATTCTCTAGCTCCTTTGGATTTTCTTGATAGCTGTGAAGGTCCGATATAGTTTCTGAGGAAGTTGTGCCAGATATAGTAAGTAGGAGGAATAATGACCCAGCTCCCTTGTCCAAATCCACCCATATGTGATGTGTTATTTCACGCTCGTATTGCGATATGTCTACGCTACACCTGTAAAAAATTGGGAAGATACTGTTATTATAAAGGGTTGTCATGCATAAGGAATAATAACAGATGAAAAACTGCTTTCCAAGATGCCAGCAGATATTTTTGTGATCACAAAAAAAAATTACTGCCCTTACATGAAGTACATGCATATGAAAATAAGAGCCAAAATTTAAAATATGTTGAAGGTACATTAACAAAACCTCATGGTCAGTCTGACTATGTAACTCAAGGACTGACTAGTAACTAGATATGGTGACTGTGGATGAAAGACCTTGCCCTAGTTGATGAACTGCTTCCTGTCTTTCAATAAGGTACATATATGTATATGCATTAATCATCCATCATATCACTATTATAAAGTTTTTTTATTAATCTGTAAACACAAAACAAATACTGAACAAATGCTTCACTGGATGTAATTATGTAAAGTAAAGTAAAGAAAGTAAAGTTTATTTCTTTGTAAAGGTTACAATGTGTAATTACATTTGTGATTTGCTAAGTACAAAGATAGCCACTATCATGCCGAGGTATTTCGGGCAGACTAATCCTAATACGTAGTAACTAATTAAAACTAGATGATATAATAGTACATAGTAACTATACTTAAAACTAGACAAGTAATAGTGGTTAGCTGTTTTACAATCTTATTTAACCCATTGACTGTCGCAACCCCAAATCCTGAAGTGTCTCCTGGTGTCGCAAAATTTCCGAAAAAAAAAAAAAAGATTTTTCTTATGAAATGATAGAGAATCTTTTCCAGATTGTAATGACACCAAAAGAACGAAATTTGATGGAAAACTGATGGAATTCCATTATTCCAGTCGACCAAACTCATAGCTATTTCTTTAGAACTCCATTTTTTCTATTGATTGAGTACAAGAAACTGCCTATTTACCGATTTCAACTACCCAATAACGTGCTTGGAAATTTGCAATTTACCCAATTTCACAAAAATTAAAAAATATGACAGTTTCAAAATAGGGTCCAGAATGAACAATGCAGACATTCCTGGCTCTAAAATAACATTTTCTTTGTTCATCAGTCAAGTCTCTAGGCCCCTCTGATATTACTCTTGCTTTCTTTTTGAATTTTTATTCAAACAAAAAATAGAAGATTTACTGTTATGCAGACTATTGCAATATTGTAATAACTGTATAAATAATGTCAACCCATTCATGACTGCATATTAGAATGGCTACTTGGACATTTAATGGAAAATGGCATCTGTTTACTTTTGAACATCAGCAAAAATCAAACATTTCCCCTAGTTTGAGCTCCATTTCATGGTTTTTTCACAGTAAAACCAATCAAAATCACCTCTATTTCTATAATATGTTTTCCATTCTATCTAATGAGACCAAGAAAATGAGAATACAACCATAAATACTATACGAAAATAGACCACAAACTCGGCGTTTTGATAAAAAAAATGGTCGGAGTTTTTTTTTCTCATTATGCACTGCGTGCTGCAGAATTTTTTTTTATGGTGCACACTGACCACACAGATCCATTCTCTCACATGTGGGCCTACCAGATTTCTCCTGCTTGATTTGAAGCCGCTAGAATTTATGGGTATATATATGTCAAAAACGGTGGCTTGTAAGACGTATATATACGACCGAAACAGTCAAAGGGTTAAACTTAATACAAGTGAGTAGGGTTCGGTAAAATAAGCTTGAAATTGCACACAAAATCTACCTTACAAGCAATGGTGCAGGTGGTAATACTTTATTGAATGGCAGAATTAAAAAGCCAGGAGGTCACATAAGACTAATTAGCAGATGTTTTGGCCGATTTGGTTAATACTGAGAAATAAGATTATTTTATGGATTTGCAGAATTAAAAGCCTAGAGGTCACATAATAAAACTAGTTAGCAGATGTTTGGTTGATTTGGTTAATATTGTTAGATAAGATGATTTTTTAGCAAAGTCCTAAATTTATAAGCTGTCAGGGGATCCTTGACCTGTTCCGATAGCGAGTTCCAGATCTTTGGGCCTTTCATGTGCACAGCGTTCTTGCATAGTGAGAGACTGACTCGAGAGATGTTGAAGTGTCTTATGCCTTGTATTGTGGCTGTGCATTCTGTTGTAACTCTCCAGTAGTAGTTTTAGGGGAGGGTTTACAGTGGAGTTTAATGTTCTGTATATGTAGCAGGCACAAGAAAAAGAGTATATCTTGTATATTTAGCAAGTTGAGTCTTTTGAAAAGTGGTGGGGTGTGCTGTCTAGCACAGGAGCTGGTAATCACCCGCACAGTACAAAAATATATTGCATACATTATACAGTTGGTGGTTGACAGGTTTCTTGCAGAATACAGTCCAGTAATTACAATGCAGAGCCACCTTGTATGCATAGTGCCTGGGACAAGAATGAAGACTACAATTTTAATAGTATATATACATGTATAGTCCAAATTTTGAAATGCAAAAATGGAGAGATCTTTGGAAAATTGAAACAAACACTGTACAATGAACCTCAACTTACAAGTACATGCACTTGCGAGTTTTTCCAGATATGAGCAGTCACTCAGTTGATTTTTTGCTTCCAGATGCAAGTGAAATTTCCAGATGTGAGTGGGCCTCAAGGGAGATTCCTTGATGCTGGTGAGGGGATTTTGCTCTTGATCTAAGGAATTGAATCTCAGTTGTTTGTTGGACTATCTTACTGAAACTTGAGCAATGCATGATGGAAAGATGCTTGTTAACGTATACCAAAAATGAAAGAAATCAGACTATAAATAACGGAGTTCACTTCTCAGCCATTAGCCTCCCCTCAGCAGTATATTTTTGTATGGTTTTTATGGTTGTATTCTCATTTTTTTTGGTATCATTTGATAGAATGGAAGACATACTACAGAAATATATATGATTTTGATTGGTTTCATGATGAAAAGCACCTTGAAATTGAGCTCAAAGTAGCAGAAATGTTTGATTCTTTGGCGATGTTCAAGAGTAAACAAATGACATCACCGTCCAATACCTGTCCGAGTGGCACTGCCCATCAACCTTCACATATTGGAAAGCTCTTCAACACGCTAACTAAAGTTGGAACAGATATGAAGTAGCAGTGGCAGACAACATGAAGCAGCAATGGCAGACAACATGAAGCAGCAGTGGCAAACATGAAGCAGCAGTGGCAGACATCATGAAGCAGCAGTGGCAGACATCATGAAGCAGCAGTGACAGACATCATGAAGCAGCAGTGGCAAACATGGAGCAGCAGTGGCAGACATCATGAAGCAGCAGTGGCAGACAACATGACGCAGCTGTGGCAAACAGGAAGCAGCAGTGGCAGACATCATGAAGCAGCAGTGGCAGACATCATGAAGCAGCAGTGGCAGCCAACAAGAGGTAGTAGTGGCAGACAACATGAAGCAACAGTGGCAGACAACACGAAGCAGCAGTGGCAGACAACACGAAGCAGCAGTGGCAGACAACATGAAGCAGCAGTGGCAGACATCATGAAGCAGCAGTGACAGACATCATGAAGCAGCAGTGACAGACATCATGAAGTAGCAGTGGCAGACAACATGAAGCAGCAGAGGCAGATATCATGAAGCAGCAGTGGCAGACATCATAAAGCAGCAGTGGCACACATGAAACAGCAGTGGCAGACCTTGTTGTACCCTATATTATAAGTGAGTTTCCGAACGCCACCGAGATGGCAGTATGTATCAAAAAAACGCTCAATCCACTTCACTCACGGTGGAGGGAATTCTCGTGTTTTCCTTACGTTTCATGCAGTTGTTTTGCAAAATTTCTTGTTTGTAACCATGGGTCCTAAGAAAGCAAGTGCAAAGGACAGTGCTGAGAAGAAAAAGAGGATGATTTCCATGGAATTTAAGCAGGAAATCATAAATAAACAAACTAGGTGGAGGGTTAAAGACTTGGCCAGGCAGTACCAGCATACCACTTTACGATATATACAATACTAAAGCAGAAGGAGTCAGTAACAAAGTGTAGCATTAAGAGTGTAGCAATTATAAGTCACACTGTCTGACTTTTTTGGATTATCCTAAGTTCTCTACACATATAGTCAAGAGCAGGAATGGCCACTGTGGTGGCTCTATAAACCCCAACAACAATGGCTGCTCTCACTACTACTAGCCACATACGTAATGACACGTATTTTATTCATTCTAGTGTATATATTATTTTTCTAAGTTATTAATATCATTTATTATGTCATATTAGATGAATTGTGATAGATAAATAAGCCATAGAGTTGACATTAGGAAAATTATTGAAGTATTTTGTCAAGCCTGGAATTCCACTGAAACGAATTAATTCCATTTCAGTTAATTTAAATGAGGAAAACTGACTCTGCAAACGAGCAAATCCAGAAGAGAGCAAGGTCATGGAACGAATTAAACTCGTAAGTAGAGGTTCCACTGTACTGTAAAAGATTGAGAAAAATCCCAAATAGTATGTGATACAAGAAATGTTTTAATCTATACATAGATTCAAGTTGGAATAAAACTTTTCTTTTTTAGTTCACAAGGTAGAATTGCAAAGGCAGCTGAAGTTCAAGGCCCCTTTCAATAGCCTATAAGAACACCATTACCATGAAAAATTAATAAAACTGTTGCCAATGGTTCATTAAATAACCCTGTGATCCTACTGACTAATCTATCACACATGTTGGTATCCACAGTAGTTTTAATACACGTAGCTCATTTACCAGTACATAATATCATTCTTATTTTAATGCATATTTTTTCACATAGTGTTCAATACTTTCTCACCAATTCTTTTAGACTTATTTCAAAAACACTTTCACTAAATATGCCTATAAAACTGATCTTTAAAACCTGAATTCAAATGTCATCATTCCTTCAACAAAATTAAATTTGAAGATCCTTATTCAAACAAAATTATTTAGGAATCTGATCCTTATTAATTAGGTTCCCTACATAATATATCAATTTCAATATAACAATCTCTTTTAACATCACTAGTACTGCATATGGCTGTCCAAATAACACATTAACTTACTTGCCCATAAAATCATCTTTACTTCGAACATCTTTATCCCAGACAGTGATCTCCAAGATCTGGCTCTGATCTTCAAAAAGATGAAAGTCAAACTGCTCCAACCACTTGGGACTCAGTGTGTGCAGCTCAATTTTACTTTTGTATTTCTCATTCCCAAGCCTGAAAATCAAGAAAAATATATATATATATATATATATATTTTTTTTTTCAACAAGTCAGCCGTCTCCCACTGAGGCAGGGTGACGCAAAAAGAAAGAAAATCCCCAAAAATAAAATACTTTCATCATCATTCAACATTTTCACCTCACTCATACATAATCACTGTTTTTGCAGAGGTGCCCAGAACACAACAGTTTAGAAGCATATATGTATAAAGATATACAACATATCCCTCCAAACTGCCAATATCCCAACCCCTCCTTTAAAGTGCAGGCACTGTACTTCCCATTTCCAGTACTCAAGTCCGGCTTTATAAAAATAACTGGTTTCCCTGAATCCCTTCACTAAATATTACCCTGCTCACACTCCAACAACTCATCAGGTCCCAAATACCATTCGTCTTAATTCACTCCCATCTAACACGCTCATGCATGCTTTCTGGAAGTCCAAGCCCCACGCCCACAAAACCTCCTTTACCCCCTCCCTCCAACCTTTTCAAGGACGACACCTACCCCTCTTTCCTTCCCCTACAGATTTATACGCTCTCCATGTCATTCTACTTTGATCCATTCTCTAAATGACCAAACCACCTCAACAACCCCTCTTCAGCCCTCTGACTAATACTTTTATTAACTCCACACCTTCTCCTAATTTCCACACTCCGAATTCTCTGCATAATATTTACACCACACACTGCCCTTAGACAGGACATCTCCACCACCTCCTCGCTGCAGCATTTACAACCAAAGCTTCACACTCGTATAAGTGTTGGTACCACTATACAGTGGACCCTCAGCTAACGATGGCATCACTTAACGTTAAATCCAGCTAACGATACATTTTAACGCAAACATTTTGCCTAAGCTAACGCTAAAAAACTCACCTAACGATATTCATTCTCAGGTACCAATTAATATCGTTAGGTGAGGGTCCACTGTACTTTCATACATTCCCTTCTTTGCCTCCATAGATAATGTTTTTTGTCTCCACATATACCTCAATGCACCACTCACCTTTTTTACTTCATAATTCTATGGTTAACCTCATCCTTCATAAACCCATCTGCTGACACGTCAACTCCCAAATATCTGAAAACATTCACCTCTTCCATACTCCTCCTCTCCAATTTGATATCCAATTTTTCTTTATCTAAACCATTTGATACCCTCATCATCTTACTCTTTTCTATGTTCACTGTCAACTTTCTACCTTCTTGAAATATGGACTATTAAATATGCACTAGGAACAAGGGGAACCATTGTGGAAGAAAAAGAAAATAATTTTCACCAAGCAAAGAATGTATACACATTTATTACAGCAATGTGTATGACCACTCATTACAAAAAAAAAAAAAAATGGTGACTGCACAGAAAGAAGTACTGTAATTAAAGTGACAAAGGATTTTTAAACAATTACCAACAAAGAATGTGACTGAAAATAAAAGTGAGAGGAAACTGTGAGCAAAGACACATTGTGCTGATGAGTGATGATGATATTTGCAATTTACATTAATGTGTCTGGGTTAAATTAAAGAATAAAAAGGAGCAATATTGTTATAAGTTTCTTTCTCCTATGTGCAGGTTAAATTAAGAGATATTTATAAAATGATGTCAGAACTCAGTACAATGGTTTCATTAATCACATTGTTATAAGAATACAATACTGATAAGTGATTTTTCTTTATTATTAAAATTAGATGCACTACACTGTGCAGCTATCCTGATCAATGTAAACATTTTATGGGGTTAGAACAAGAAGCATGTTTACCTAAAACAACCATCATGTAGCATGGATTTCCACGCATCAGCATGGTTGACCAGACTAGCACCAGACGAGCCTAGCCCAAGGCTGGGCTCTGGGAGTAGAAAGACTCAAAACTCATCAAAGGTATATCAAAGCTAAAAGGTATTCCAACCAACGCGGGGGCATTGACCCCCGGAACTCTCTCCAGGTAAACAATAAACGATGAAGATGGAGCACAGGAAGGGCAATCAAAATTTATGACCAGGTTAGCTGTTAGTTAAAAACAATGGATGCAAGGAATAAAAAAACAAAAATACTAGTGCAGTACAATAATTCAAGTGAAAAATGCATTTTCTTAAATATTGATGTTGATGAGGAAAAAATGGACCACTTAAGTGTCTCACTGCCAATCCCACATGCTGACAGATAAAGTTGAGCTAACTACTGTAATTGCCAAGGTACTTTTGACAGTTGGATAAAAAGGCACTATGTCTCAAGGGAGCCCTTATTACTGCTGCAGTGTTTCATCTAGGGCTGGACATTGTAGCAAAGATAGAGGTTTCCCCTTCAACATTGTATCTTTTTTACCCAAGTTGACATTCAACTCTACTGGAGCTTCCCAAAGGTTATTAGACCACTGATAGGCTAAGACCCTGATAGGCTATGACCCTATCAGTGGTTCATATTGCTAATACTTTAAACTACTAAAAGGGTTCAATTTTTTGTTATAAAGTACTGTATATTATATTTACTTACTGTACTATGCACTTCAGTTTGGCAAATTTTTTAATTCATTTTGTGATTATACACAGAACTTTTTCATTAAATAGATGTTTTATCCTTATTCAAGATTTAAAATCTGAAGGTACAGGATTGCATAAAGACTTCAAGAAAAAAACAGCAATAGTAATATACTGCACATGCTACAAACACTGCAGGGTAACAAAATGGTCACAGCCTCAACTCCTGTCCTTTACTGCTCAACTTTTACACCTTATTTTTCATATCATCTGATGAATGGTGAAAGTTGTGTGAGACTTGTTTGCTCAGAATTCAGAAAAGTCTGTTTGTAATCAAAAGATCATGGTTTCAAATGCTGGGCAGGGCAGGATTTATTTATTTAACATACCGGCCATCTCCTCCAAGGTAGAGTAACTCAGAAGAGAGGAAGCATTTTTACCATCATTCATTCAATTGCTGTCTTGCCAGTAGCAAGTTGACATCACAGTTCAGATGGCTCTCCAAACCGTAACACCCCCACCCCTACTTCAGAGTACAGGCACTGTACTTAGCACCTGCCAATCAATTTCCCTGAATCCCTTCATAAATGTTACCTTCTTCACACTTCAACAGCATGTCAAGTCATAAAAATCACTTGCCTCCACTCACTTTGATCAAATGCACTCACACAAGTCCCATGGATGTTCAAACCCCCACATTACTCAAAATCTCCTTTACTCCCTGCCTCCAACCTTTCCTGGGGGGACCCATATTATCCCTTCCTCCACCCCAAATTTACATACCCTTCTAGTCATTCTATTTTGTTCCATTCACTCTAAGTGTCCAAACCTTCTCAGCCTTCTGAAAAAGATTTTTGGTAAGCCCACAACTTCTAATTTCTAAGCTCCAAATTCTCTGTATAAAATTAACAGCACACACAGTCCTCAAACACATCTCCACTGCCTCCAGCCTCCTCCTCCCTGCAACATTCAATTCTATACACACTGTAAGGGCAAATTACTTTGCACTCAGTTCCTCCACTCAGCTAGCAGGACTAGGCATACCTGCATGTTAATCTACTGCTGTGGGTTGCAAACTAGGTGATAATCAAATGTTTGACCAAACACAAATATGCCATATCAATTTATTTGCTGTCCCATTTTTATAAATGTATGTATGGGGAGGTGCCAAAACAAGAAGATTTATACAGCCCCTGAGCAATAGAAGGCAATCATGTTCGATCCAAGGAAGAGGAGGTTAAATTCCAACACCTTTGATCAACACCCCTTCACTAGCAAAGGCACCTCCCTTGAAGCTTAAAATTTCTGTATAGTTGTGTTCTCCTACTCTAATTTACCATACTGCATTTTCTTTTTCTTCCAAACACTTGCTGGTATTCACACACCATTCCATGTAAAAAAATGAAAGCTCAATACATTATATTCAAGAGGAAGAAAGTTTTTGAAACACCAAAAGACAACATATCCCCCGAGGTACCAATAATACAGTAGTGTTTAACACTAGCGTAATCAGGAAAATTTATTAATATATATTAATATTGCACTCATATTCACATGTCTTCAATTTTCAGCAGTAAAGTCAAAGAAATTGATAGTGAAGTTAATTGTGTGTCTACAGATTTTTGTACAAATTTCTGCATTTATACAACACCATAAGCAAGGAAAAGAATAAAGGTAATGGATAAAATATTAAGATTAAAAAAGGCAACATAAAATACTAACCGAAACTTAACATAGGGATCTGAGGTACCGTCTGGATCCATTGGGAGAAGATTTTTACCCTCCACAAGGACAATAGTTACTACAGAGCTCCATATTTGACTCTTTAAACGCCTCTGCTGCTCTGCTAACCGTGATCCACCACGTTGAAGGTACTGGGGGGAAACAAAAAATAAAAAATAGTGAAAATTAGGCTAGCTTGAAGTTTTATTATACTACATTATACATGTATTACTTATATACTACACATTCATTAAAAAAAATATACAATGTTTTATATTAAAAGTTGAGGGACATAACTTGTAACATATTTTGTTGGAGTAAAAGAGGTTTACTTAAGGTTGATAATAACAGCCACAAGCTGAGGGTATACATGTATTGTATAGTCTAAGAATAAAAAATAGTATCTTCATTATTTCTGCACTTCTAGTTTAACAATATGTATTAGATAAAGAAACTCAAGATTTATGCTCACTCATTATCTTTTAGTTTAGTTTCTTGCAAGGGGGTGACTTGATGGTGAAAGGTTTCATGAAATGTACTGCAGCTACCCTCCCCATCCTCAGATAAAACCAGAGTACAGTACAGGTACTTCTCATCAACCAGGCACTATATGACCACTACTAATGTACAAAATGATTACCTAAATTGTCAGCTAATGTCATAAAATGTGCAAAAAATAATACCTATAAACTTACTATTTTCTTATAATCATGTACAATGACATGCCCTTGTAGGCTAAGCTTGCTGAAATGCTCTGAATAACTATTGGCATTCAACAGTCAATTATTTCTGTATAAACAATGTATCATGTTAAAATAAACTTGTATTGTATTAGGGCTTTTCTACGATATAATAATAACTTGGTTCTAGTACAGTACTAGTAGGCAGGCTTTCATTTTAGGCTTCAGTTACAAAGGTAAATACCAAGACTACCCAGGATGACCTTATTCTGAGCAACTTCAAATTGGGGTACATATATGCACACTGTCTCTTATAGGAAACAGCAATGAACTTTGAATAAGATTGGAAAAGGAGACATTAAAATCTGTGACTATTTGAGGTAAAACAGGTTTTACATATATCCCTGAAAGACATTAAACAGTGATGAATGTACAACAAAAAATAAAGAATCTACAACAAAGTTGAATTAATTAACAACTACGACTATATGCAATTATCTTAAACTGGGACAACTGGGTATTCGCTAGGTCACCATCTGGAAAAGACCCAGGCTGGGATAAGACCGGCAAGCCTACTACAATTGGATATTGAATAGTGGGTGCTGTGGCTATATTCAAATTTCAATTAATGTTTTCTGTGAAAGTAATAATAATAAAAAATGGATTTTTGCCAAATTCCATAAGCAATATTGGAATGTATGTATTATATGTACATTCTGTAGCAACTGCTGATTTGGTTGACAATGGGAAAGGGGAAAATTCAGATCATTACTCACAGTTAAATGTAAGATTGCCTAATTAGAGCCTGATACCACAAAGACTTTTGCAATTGAAAGGAAATTAGGCTATACACACTAATTCCAAATAATGCCAGTTATTCATTATTAATATTCTGTACTGCCATCTAACAATGTGTCTGTAAATGTTCATATGTATAATACAGTTCTATTGCTAACTTAATATATGTTAGTGCAAACTTGTTATCTGGCACTTATATACATTCATGAGTGGAAAAAAATGACATTCTGCTTTCTGGCTGTGCCTGGAACTTAACCTGTCGTATAAGTGCGGCCCTACTGTATACATATTTCAAACCAAATTACAGTATTAAATTCATGGGAAATGCTAAACCTATAAGGGTCACACAGCAGCTTAGGAATAAGAGGCAATTAGGTTTAATCTGCAGGAAGTAGCTCTAATTTCTTGGATCAAGAGACATTCACAGGCATCAAGGCACCTCCCCATCAAGGAATTTGAAACAACAGACCATATATGTATTATATACAGGCACACAGGTTATTCCAATCAAGACCCTAAATAATAACCAGTGTGACATCATGATATTGAGGTTTAGCATGTTACGCAATGGGCTACTTAAACTTATCCTGTCAGTGCCAACCCCACATATATGTGAGCTTTCTCGTAGCTTTCTAAGTCCCTAAGATAGTTACTTCTTTGTAAACAGTTTGATGTATTATTATTCTAGAAATTCTTCAAGGATTCTGAAAGATGAAAATGAAGTACTGTATCTCTGTCATGAGATGTAAACATACAAAGCCAATAGAAACAATGCCTTGATGCTAGTCAATGGCTTCTGATTCAAGGGTTTCATGTTATGTTCTTTCTCCTCAAATCAAACCTGACTGACTGACTTTTTTGGGTTATCCTAGGTTCTCTACACATATGCTGCTATGTATGATAATTCTATGTAACTGTATTGTGTATACCTGAATAAATTTACTTACTTTACTTACTTACTTACTGAATGACCCCTACAGGACCGCAATGGAAATAAGTCACTGTGTCTAACTTTTATTATTTATCCTAGGCAGGTAATTTATGGTATCTGTGATAATTGTACTTATGTGTACCTGTGCCTAAATAAACTTACATTTCCATGAATTATAATAATAATAATGTAAATGACAAGCCAAAGTTAACATTTAGTGAACACTATTATCATTAGACAGTGCTTTATAACACATACTACAGAATGGATAGAGAGAATAATCTGAAATGAAGTAAAAAAAAAAAAAGAAAATGGGAAAAGGGCAAGGGGAAATTCCTAGGTTTAATCGTGGTCAAAAAATTTAAATTTATATCTCACATATACTATATCAACAAAACCAGTTAAGATTGAAGGGATACTGTCTAGGACTGTTATTATGCTCTGCAATCTAGAAGATTTTTCATTGGGTTATTTACCCAAAGGATTAGTAACCCAGGATAACCCAAGAGATCCAGGTCAACAGACTGGCTTGTTAAGAAGATAAGATAAGATTTTGTTCGGATTTTTAACCCCGGAGGGTTAGCCACCCAGGATAACCCAAGAAAGTCAGTGCGTCATCGAGGACTGTCTAACTTATTTCCATTGGGGTCCTTAATCTTGTCCCCCAGGATGCGACCCACACCAGTCGACTAACACCCAGGTACCTATTTGCTGCTAGGTGAACAGGACAACAGGTGTAAGGAAACGTGTCGAATGTTTCCACCCGCCGGGAATCGAACCCGGGCCCTCCGTGTGTGAAGCGGGAGCTTTAGCCACCAGGCCACCGGGTCCCCTTCTCTTCCCCAGGATGTAACCTACACCAGTCAGCTAATATTCAGGTAGGTACTGCTAGGTGAACAGGGACAGCAGGTGTAAAGAAACATGTCCAATGTTTCCACTTGTTTGGGGATCAAACTTTGGTCCTTTAGTGTGTAAGCCGAGGCCAATACCAAATGATTCTGCTGTTAATACTTTTCTTTTCCCCTCATTTACTCATACCTCATATGTCTGTGTCTGGGGATCCACTTCAACAGTTAACGTCAAACCAATAATTACCCAGCTATCAGAACAATCTTAATAAATGGCAAAAAAGTTCTAAGAGTTCTGGTTAGTAGAAATTTAATGCTAGAGCAACAATGTAAAAGTGCTTGCAATAAGTTAATATGTGTAATTTCTGATTTCATATAAAGTAAATAACAGAGGTCCTTAGGCAATATTTCAACTTTATATACAGTGGACCCCCGCATAACGATTACCTCCGAATGTGACCAATTATGTAAGTGTATTTTGGGGGTCTGAAATGGACTAATCTACTTCACAATATTTCTTATGGGAACAAATTCGGTCAGTACTGGCACCTGAACATACTTCTGGAGTGAAAAAATATCGTTAACCGGGGGTCCACTGTACTGTATATCTTTGGTCTCTATGACAAAATGGACATACGTACATGTAAATGCATCCAAAAAAGGAAAGAGAAGGATGATAAAGTTGATTTCATGTATTAGAAGCCTTTCCTATGAAAACAGGCTGAAGGCATTGAACCTGCACTCTTGGAAAAGTGTAAAATTAGGGAAGATATGACTGAAGTGTGCAAATGGAAAACAGGAATAAATAATGGGGAAATACATAAAGTTGAAAATATTTAACCAAAACAGGACTCCCAATAATGGATTCAAGTTGGAGAAATTTAGATTTAAAAGTATACTAGGAAGTACTGGTTTGGCAATGTAGTTGTAGATGAGTGGAACAAACCCCTAGGTATCATCACTGAGGTAAAGAACTTTACATAGCTTTAAATATAGGTTGAACAGTTACACAAGTGGTTGTGGGCAAGTGTGAATTAGACCTACCTAGCATGGGCCAGTAGAGAATAGTTACAATACCATAGTTGGAACAATACACAAATAACCTACATTTAGGAGAGTGAAACTTATGATGACATTACGATTCAACTTGACATTAAAAAAAGAAAATAAAGCGAGAAGTATGTGCAAGAAGGCCTTCTGCAGTGTTCCTTAGTTCATAAGTTTATCTAAGTACAGGTATACAAAAGTATAGTTATCATACATAGTAACATGAAAATTACCTAGCATAACCCAAAAAAAAGTCTGACAGAATGACTTATTTCTTATGATTTAATTAAAGGTAATACATTATGCCATTATTCAAGACCCTATACAACCCAGATATGAATATCTTTCATACATCTTGAGAACACTACAATGTAACAATTCTCCTGGAAAAGGAGAATCACTAGAAACTAATACCTTTTTGATAATCCCCGTGTTCCTTTGAACATTTACAAAAAATTCTACGAAAACTAAATGGCAAAAAATGTCGAATAATTCAAAAGACGAATTGGAAAAATATGCAACTTATCCAGTGCATTCAAATTAAAGCTAAGAAAAAAATAGTTCCAATGGAAATAAGTGGATGACTTTTTGGGTTATTCTATGTAATTTACACATATGTTACTAGGTATGATAATTATATTTATGTGTACCTGAACCTTAATAAACTTATTTACTTACTAACCTGCCATTTGAACCTCTCCCCGTCTTCTTGTTGGGGATTTATAAAGCCACTAAAAAGTTACGTTGTATCGAGTCTTGCCTCCCGGAGCCCCAGGAGAAACCTCCTTCAAATTAAGTATAATGACTTATATTTCCAGTGCATCCCGACCTCCACTGGAAGACCCAAG